TGGGTCCAAGTGGTAGTAGGTCAAGTGATTTACGGTCAGGCTGGCTTCCTTCTAAACAATGAAAGCAGTCAGACGATCGGACAGTAGACAAACACACACGCGCATGCGAGTGCGCGCGCGCCTACAAAGTGAGCGCGGTACGGACACACACGCGCGCAGATCGAGCAGGCACCGTTTCGAGCTGACCCCTTCGACCAATGATAAAGGGGGACACCCACGACAGACAGACACCTCACCTTTATTAAGTATACAGATACAGATATATGGTTTGTCTCACGTAAAGCGCTGAAATTTACAAAATATTGCTAATCATTCACAAAGCAGCGCCAATGCATGGACCAGAGCCTTGAACTAACAATGAACGACTTTAAATGAGGTAAAAACGTTAAAAACACTGTGAAAATTAATAGTTAATTATTGGGAAAAACTGACTTTTAGAAAAATGGAAAATTCCGAAAGTGAACATAAAATTCGCAACTGAGTAAACAGAAGACCTGTTCACGCATAAGAATTGAGTAACTAAATCAATACAAGTAGAGTAAAGATTAAAAATCTTCCTTCAGTGAATTTTAAGCATAAATATTCTTCAAAAGCAAATGCAGTGTAAAGTATGGTCGTTAAACAACAGCTGTTTTTTCGTTTATAAATTTTCGAAAGAGGCTTGACGAAGAAAAACAAGCTTTCAGTTGATTGAGTCGATAGAGATGTCAAAGAAATTAAAAAAATTCAAAGGCCGGCTAGTGGCTAATAAATATCCATACAATCTTCAGGTGCAATCGTAAAAATGCCATTTTGGGATATTAGGAGATCCTTCCTTCCAACAAATTTCTTTATGGTTACTGCTGGTTTTGAAGTACGATGATGCAATTATTTCTAAACATATTCTGCAGGCATAAAGGGCATTATCTGAAATAGGCTAGTCGAACAAATAAAACGTGCAGCATTTAAGTTGCCAACAGTTGGTCGTCTCAGTATCCGTCGTCACGATTCATTCAATAAGTTATATGCTGCATTTTTTACCTGTATGGATATTTTGTCTCATGCAATGTCAATAGATCCGTCAAATTTGTTCCTCAACCTTACTGCTCAAGCTCGGTTGAATCCATTATAAACTTAAGGGTGGGACCTAATTAGGACAGGCTCACCACTTATTTTCGTGAAGTTATCAGGACCACTTTTTTATATCTACAGATATTTACAGACTAGGACTTAGCTGGAAGTGCTGAGAAGTTTGCATTTACTGGAATACTTAGCATGTTGTTGAATTGGATTTATTTTTCCAAGCTTGCAGGTCACATTATCTTTATAGCTCATTTTTGTGGTAACAACTGCCTGCACACCGTTCAAACCTACTGAAAGGGGCCTACCCTTGTTTTTCCACCCTTCAGGAGCTTAAAGCCAAAGACGATCATTTTGTGAAGGAATTAAAGAAGCGTTCTGAGGATGTGGAAGTTATGGTGGAACGGATGGAGTCCCAGATGAAGTCCATGCAACGCGCGTACACCTTCGAGTTGCAAGAGATTGAGGTTTGCGCGCTCTCCCTTTAGGCCTCCAACCAGGCTTTTTTAGCGTGCCTTTTTGCAGGAACGGGACAGATTGTTGGAAATCCAGAACAAGGACTGGGATGATTTTATTGAAGAGATTCGGAAAAAGCAAGCAAGTCTTTGTAGCCTGAAAGGAATTCATTAGTCCACCCCTGTGTAGGTCGACTACCTGAAGGAAAGACAGGCGAGGATTGAGGAGTTGGATGAGCTGATTCACACCCTGCGAACCAATCACTGTCAAGAGTTCAACGCGCTGAAGTTGAGGCTGACCACGGAAGTCCAGGTGAGGTCCTTCTTTTCACAAAATATTTCCATATCAGGCTAAGTTCAGTTCAGTTTGGTTTTATTAAGGGAAAAGTAGGTGAACGCCGTTGCGCTGCCTATTGGTGACATTGTGACTAAAAAATGCATCAATACAGTATAAAAATTCAAACACTGATCGTTTACATGATAGAAGGCGAAAAGTGGGCGGTCGATAGTTAGTGTAAAATAGTCAACATCCACAACTACTCACTTATCATGAGTAGTATAAGTACATAAGAATAGTACCTTGATTCATTTGCGATGCTAAATGACCCGAGGCAGTAGATGAGACAAAAACAAAAAGAGCAGACAGTGTTAAAACTCTTTGTATCCAGTTACTTGCGTTTTGGATAGAAAATGTGATTATAAAGGTTTATATTTTGAACAGAAAAACTTCTAGTAAAACTGGTGTTCTGCTCTCGCATTCAGCAATTAGAAACTGACTTACAACAGATGAAAGCAGCTTATCAGCTGAACCTGGAGAAGCTGGAGTACAATTTCCAGGTCCTCAAACGTCGCGATGAGGAAAATACCATCACGAAGTCAAAGCAAAAACGGAAGATCACGCATTTGCAGGACCAGCTCAACATCATTCGTACCAGGTCAAGGAAAATGGAAGAACAAATGAGGTGAGCCTGCTATTCCCCGCATGATTCATGCCGTGTGGAGCTCGTTTTCTTTACTCCGTGTGAGAGATGCGCTGAACCGATATGAAGTCTAAACGATGTCACAGCACATGTTAATTGAGCCGCGCTTCCTTGAAAAATGTCCCGCATGGGGAAGTGTTTGCACGCCTAAACGCCGGCTCACGCCACGCCAGCCGCCTGCGCCTAATCCCTGCATTACATGTCTAACCGGCGGGGATGGCAGACTGGTGCACGAGTGAGGG